GAAAAACAGAAGAAAAAGAACTCGGGCTTTATGAACAACGCAAGTGGGGTACAGAGCCCTCTCCTCTTTTCTAACACTAGGAATTTACACTTTATTATGCGCTCAAATTATGCAAAGTAGAGAGTTATACAAAGAATTAATTAATTTGGTCCCCACCCATACCCCAACCCAAACCCTGGGAATTTTAGTCCGGAGCAGATGCCAAACTGAATGGAATGCTTTGCCAGCAACTCCACGTTACTTTTATTACAGAATCAGAGGCCTGCTCAATTTAACGAGGTTGATGTCTGAATTAACATGCACAAAGTCAATTACTGCACCAGATGGAAACTCCTTGCAGGGAATGGAGCATTATGGAATAAGATACTTTGGTTATCCTTCAGCAAAGGAATTTCCATAAAATCCCAGAAAACATTAAAGAAATTATGTTTGAAGAGAATTAAAATTAGTTGGTTTTGATCTGTCTTCACAGGAGCTCAGTTTTGGGGTGAGGTTCCGTCTATCTGTCCACAACAAACAAATATACATTATTTTGATAACGTGTAAGACACGGGACAAAGTTATTTACCCTAAATGACAGGGCTTCCGTTTGGAATAGGGAAGTGGGGGGAAGCAAAACTTGTTAAGGAGTAACTGAGTATTTTTAAAGCATTTCAGTCTGTGGTCCCAAACTAAGAGAAAAAAAAAACGCATCATAAACTAGCCCATAAAATGAGATGAGTAACTTCCCATTTATGTCATTAGATAATTAGGGGAAAAGTGCAAGACAAACAGACAAAAACTCTGGCTGAGTTTTCATTCCTGAAATAAATAACAAACAAGAGTTCACTACGGATATTGGACCAAAAGTGATTTCAAACATGCACTGCTGCATTCTAGCCCACCATTCTGCTTTCCATAATGACCGTGGCAATTAAATGCTACCTTAAAAGGAGAGAGAGCATTAGTTAATAATACCTATTATTTCAAGAGGCCTGTTAATAAATTACAACTAGACATAAGGAGAAAACAACTATTTTGACAAATTTCTGTGCATGGGAGAAGAGGAACACAATTAAGAGGGCAAGAGGGCAGATTAAACAGCTGGCGAAGTACACATTTTGTAGCTTCCAATAATGTGTGCACACATTATTTTATAACCCCTCCAAGCGATCACAGCACTAACGTCCACTGGTGTTAGTTTCATCAGTGGGTCATAAACAGAAGACAGAAGACCCACTAATCTGCAAGGACCCAGTACAATTTTAACTCCACCTTCCACCTCTCAAGAAATTTGACTTTTATCAACTATCAGAAAGTGGAAAAGGAGGATACAGCCAATTTAAGGTCCATATTAGAGAGAGGGGGACAGAAAAGTGCCGTGTTTTGTTTTAGCGCCCGCCACTTCTTCCCTCAAACGAACTTTTCCAGTTTGCACTTTTCCTCCAGCAGCAGTTTGGATGGGGAGGAAGCTACACTTGTGTGGGACTCCTACAGTCCCGCTGCCCACCCCCGCTCCTATAGACGCACATAGCAAAGTCCTACATACAGCCTGTGGGAAAGGAAAGGGGGCATCTTGAGATGCAGGGCTGAACCTTGCCATAGTGTTCCCCCCCTCTCTCTTTTTAAGACCAGCATCTCCATCTTAGGGGGGAGGGGGATCTTAGCTTAAGGCACCCTTGCAAACTGTGGGGAAAGGAAAGGGAAAGAGGTTGAGATTGCATCCTCCCCAGCTGGAGTTGGATCGGCAAGGCAGGGCCGCCACCTCCCCACCCGGCACGCCTTCACTTTCCCTTACTAGAGAAAGCCCCTTGGAGAGAGTCAGTTTTGCACCGAAGGGAGTGAAGACCCAACCGCCCCAGCCTTTGTTTGAGGGGGAGAAGGCGAGAGGGAGAAGGCGAGGAGGAGGCTGCCTTGATGCGGCCACCTGAAGGAGCCAGTTATTGGGGGGGTGGGGTGTCGGGGGTTGCACCCCATCTCTCTCCGGCGGCTCCTGCCCTTCTCGCCTCCCCGGCGACCTCCAAGGCGCTCGGCTCCCCTCTCTGCGCGTTACACCCAAGTGGGAGCCACGGATGCCCCTTCCTCACGAGCGCTCCTGCCGCCGCCTTCTCTCCCACCCCCCCCTCCAACACCCTCCGCGCCGGCTTTTTCGCTCCCTTGGACCCCTCAGGGGCGCGACGCAGGCTCCGACCCGTTCCCGCGGCCCCCCTCCCCCTTTCCCAGCCTTCCTTGCACCCGCTCGCCCCGGAGCCTATTTTTAAAAGCAACTTTGCCCAACTTTTCCGGGGTCTGCAAGCCCGTCACTTGGCAGCCTCCCTCCTCCCCCACCACCGGCGGCGGCGAAAGCCGAGGCTTCTTCCCTCTCGTCCCCCTCAGCGCGGCCCGGGTCAGCCCCCCTCCCCCGTCCCCACCGCCCCGGTCTCCCCTCCGGGGGCATCCGAAGGGAGTCGAGCACCCACCGCAGCCTGGGCGTCCCAAGCGCCGAGTCCCAGGGCGAGCAGCAAGAGGAGGCGACGGGCGCCCGGGCTCAGCTTCATCCTCCACCTCCTCCAGGAGCCCCGCAGCCTCGCCGGAGCCGAGCCAGCCTTCGCCCACCTCCCCCAAAAAAAGGGAAGGGGAAAAAAAAAAAAGTCAAAGCTGAGGAGGATGAAGTGGGCAAGGACTCTCTGGGCAGGGCTGGGCCAGGCGAAGCGGCTCTAGGCGCCCGCCTCCTCCTCCTCCTCCTCCGCGCCCGCCTCCGCCCCCGCCTTTCCCGGCTGGGTGCGCGGTCGCGGCCCGACCTCCCTCTCTCCGCGCCCCCCCCTCTCTCTCTGGGGACTACTTTGCCTGCCTCTCGCCGCCCGGCCTCGGCCCGGATCCATGCGCCTGCCGGCCGGCTTGTCCTCCTCACCGCTGGCGGATGGGGTTTGTAGTCCCGCGGCTGGACTTCAGGGGCGTATAAGCCGTTTCTTGGGCCGCCGAGCTCCGAAATCCGGCTCGATTTAAAATTTAAAAAAAGGAAGGAAGGGGGAGAAAACTTTTCTCCTGCCCCCCCCCCCGCCCGCCCTTTGTTTCTTCGTTGCGCGAAGCCGGGGTTTAGCCCAGGGCTAAGCTGCCATGCCCGCGGGGCTCGTGCGTTGAATTGGGGTTTAAGAGCAGAGGTCTCCAACCTTGGCAGCTTTAAAGCCTGGAGGACTTCAACTCCCAGAATGCCCCAGTTGCTGGGGAATTCTGGGAGTTGAAGTCGGTCAGGCTCAGAGCGGCCAAGGTTGGAGACCTCTTGGTTTAGAGCAGAGGTCTCCATCCTCCAGGCTTAAAGTTGCCAGGGTTGGAGACCCCTGGTTTAGAGGGTTTTGAGCGCAGTTTGCGGGGCTCGGGAGGCCTTCTGGCCTTCCTTACTTCCTTTTTGGCAGAGGAGGGGAATAGTCAATTCTGCACCAGGAGAACTTGGGAGGAATAAAAGTTGCTTTTCTGCGCAAAGTTCTCCTCTGAGGAGAAACGGATCATATTCCCAGGCGTCCGTGCTTAAGGAACCCGTGCAAGATTCTCGCTTTATTTTACACGGACCTCTTCAGCTGGGTTCCCACAAGCCTCTCGTTTGTGGAGGAGCGTTTCGTTAGGGTTCTTTAAGGACAGAATGACACCCCATCTTCAGTAGCCCATTCCCCCCTCAATTTCAGACGCGACCAAGAACGGGGCAAGTCTAGAAAGTTTTCCCAGAGGGAACTTTTTAAAATTATTTAATAAATTTTTATTAAGGTTGTAGTTTTAAAACTAAAGCATAGTTACAATTTTTTTGCAGTACGTTGTGGCATCGGCGTTCCCATATTCATTGACATACAAAGATACTTATATAGATACATAACAATCTACATGTTACATTATCTTTTGTTCCTGTTATCTAACCAAACATACCATTTCTCCCAGACCGTATAGTATTCTTTTTCTTCCTTCTGCAATTCCATGGTGAGTTGATTCATTTCTGCACAATCCATAATTTTTATTAACATATTCTCTGTGGGACTACTCTCTGGTTCCCCCGTTTTGAGCATAGACCTTATTCTAGCTGCTGTCAGTAGGTGTATTCTTATGGATTCAATGTCTTTCTTGTAATCACCTCTAATTCTCCCTCATAGGAACATTTCAGACTTTAAGTTCCATTTTTTTTTTCCAGAGGGAAATTTTAAGGGGTTTTGCAGCCTCCCAATGTGGGGACCCAGCGCCCTAGAGCGGGGTGGGGGCGGGGGGCGATGAGAGTGCACCCCAACCGCTGCTGTCTCTCCGTCGCTCCGTTTCTGGCGCGTCTCGCTCGCTCCCACCACTTTAAATATATCTCCCGTCATCTGAGAAAACCGGACAGACCCGCCAAAGCGCCAGTTGAATGAAACCAAACTTTCTGGCCCTTGGAGAAGCCCCGAAGACGGGCCCGAGTTTGAAGGCTGACCCCTCTCCCCCCCCCCCCCCCCCGAGGGGCCCGCGGGGGGGGGCGGGCCCGCGGCCGGGAAGACCCCCCCCCCCCCCCAAGAATGTCGGCGCCCCCCCCCCGCCCCCGCCCCTCCCTCCCCCCCCCCCCCCCAACCACCTGTTCCCCGGCCAACTGAAGTTCGCAAGAGGTGCTGCTCTCCGAGGTGGAGAGGCCAAACGTTCGCCAGGGCCCAGGTGGGACAGCCGGCTCTCTTGACTGAGGGAGGGGGGGGGGCTTCCTCGTCTCTGAGGTGCTGCAGGGATTCCAGGCGCCCCCCCCCCCCCCCCCCCCCCCCCCCGGGCCCGGCCAAAGCGGCGGGAAGACGAGCCTGAAGGAAAGGGGTGCTAAGGCGCCCCCCACCCCCGCCCGCTCAGCCGGTTGCCCTGCCCAAGGCTTGCGGGCACAAGCACGTGTGGACGGACCAAGCCGGAAACGGGCACGCGGGGGTGGGGAGGGGGGGAAAGCGGGGGAGGCGAGGCCGAGGCGGCACTGCGGCTGCTTGGAGGGCGGCGGCTCCGCCCTCGTCCCCCGTTTCCACCCCCCCCCACCCCGCGCCGCCTCTCCGCCGTGCGGCTTCGGCGCGGAGTGGTCGCCGGGCTCCTGCGGGGCTCTCTCTCTCTCTCTCTCTCTCTCTCCCTCTGCTGCTTCGGGAGGGCGGAGACCGCTCTTCACGTGTCCTGCCCGCGCGTCCACACGACCGGACCGCCCCCGCCTCCCCGGGGCGTGGGGTCCGGCCGCGGAAGGGGCTCCAGAGAGCCGCGTTCTCCCCGCGGGCTCCAGCCGCCGCCCCGCCGCTCGGCAGAGCCAGCATGTTCGCCGGGTGAGTGCCCAAGTCCAGAGGGAAGCGGGGGGGGGGGTGTTGGGGGGGGCGGCCGGCAGAGTATCGGAGGGTCGCGTCTGCCGTGGGAAAGCGTGACATTTTGACCCCGCTCCCTTTTTTTATTTGTTATTTTTGGTTTGCAGCGCGCCCCTCTTGCTGGTTGCCCTGAGCCTGGCAGCGCGTCCCGTCTGTGGGGTAAGTTCTCCCGAATTACGGGCTGCTCGGGGAGTCTCCTCCAAGCCCCCTCCCCACTTCGGCCCTTGGAGGGCGGGAGGAATCCCTGGGCTCCTCCGGAGGAAGTGGGGCGAGGTGGGTGGCAAGGAAGCCAGGAAAGCTGGCGACCTCCTTGCCACTTGGAAGAAGGTACCAAGTGGAGATCCTGGGGAAAGTGGCTGGCAGGAGTGGGGGAGGGGGTGGGCGGGCAAGGGCCCAATCCTGCTGCCTGGGGCTGGCTGGACAGTCGCAGACCAAAGCAACAGCCTTGTCTATCTCCATGGCGAGGAAATGCCCAAACTGGAGGGGCTGTTGTTTTCCTGCTGGAGCACATGGACTTGGCTGAGGTCCAAAATGCCTGAGGCCGCCTCCTGTCAGTTGTTCCCTTCTTAAGCCTCTACTCCCAAGTAAACTGCAAAAGGAGGTGGCAGGTCTTTTTGTGACCTGCTTTGTCCTCTGGGGAGACGTCCATCCTCGCCTCCCTACAGCTCTGTGTTTCCTTCATCCCTGCTTGTTCTCCAGGGCCTAACTTGGCCCTCTGACCCTCAATGCTCCCTGGAGCACAGTTGGCGAGGGTTGTGATGCTGTGCCCAACACAAACACACTTGCAAAAAGGTGTCAAGGAGCGAGAACTGAGAATTTAAGATCTCTCCACTTTTCATCCCTGGGTGTTTTTCCAAGCCCCAGGCAAAAGGGGGACCCCAAATATCCAAGATTATTTAATATGATTGATTTCCTGCCACTAAAAGGAAAAGAGACTGTAGATAATTCTCAACTTGCAGCCATTTGTTTAGTGAATGTTCAAAGTTACAACGGCACTGAAAAAAATGACTTACAACATCCCCATGTGATCAAAATTCAGACACTTGATAACTGACTCTTATTTATGACAGTTACAGTCATGTGACTTTCTAACAATTTTGTGACTTTCTAACAATTAAGAATTAAGAATCACTTAAATGTACAATAACTTAATCACTGCCAAGATTCACTTAACAACTTTGGCAAGAAAGGTTTTAAAACAGGGCAAAACTCTTAACAACTGTCTTGCTTAACAACATAAATTTTGGACTCAATTGTGATTGTAAGTTGAGGACTAGCTGCATTTCGGGATACACTTTGCTATGTCAGGAATATGCTTTCATTGATTTGTATTTTCTACTAGTTCCCAGGTGAGTTTTGTGAAGGAAAGATTTTAAAAAATCTACTCTCCCTTGAAGGACAGCCATTAAGCAGAGGAATCTGTTAAGTTGCAAAGTTGTTGCTGATCTCTGTGTATCAACCTTATATGAGCTGTGGTGGCGCAGTGGTTAGAGTGCAGTATTGCAGGCTACTTCTGCTGGCTGCCGGCTGCCTGCAATTTGGTAGCTCAAATCTCACCGGGCTCAAGATTGACTCAGCCTTCCATCCTTTCGAGGTGGGTAAAATGAGGACCCAGATGGTTGGGGGCAAAAGGCTGACTCTGTAAACTGCTTAGAGAGGACTGTAAAAGTACTACGAAGAGGTATATAAGTCTAAGCGCTATTGCTTTTCCTTTTCACCTTCTTTCCTTCCATCCTTTTACAGTGCACAGTGGTTAGAATGCAGTACTGCAGGATAATTCTGCCCACTGCCAGCAGATCGATTTCCACCGGCTCAGCCTTCCATCTTTCTGAGGTGGTTAAAATGAGGACCCAGATTGTTGGGGGGCAATAGGCTGGTTCTGTAAACCGCGTAGAGAGAGCTATAAAGCACTGTGAAGTGGTATATAAGTCTAAATGCTAGTGCTGTGTAGAAATCTTAATTACAACAGTTATAACTTAAGACCACAATTGAGCCCAATGTTTATGCTGTTAGGTGAGAAATTTGTTAAGTGAATTTTGCCCGATTTTATGACATTTCTTGCCACATTTGTTAAGTGAATCGCTGCAGTTGTTAAATTAGTAACCCGGTTGTTAAATGAATCTGGCTTATCCATTGTCTTTGCTTATCGAAAGGTCACAAAAGGAGATTACATGACCTCAGGACACTGCAACCGTCATAAAGATGAACCAGCTGTCAAGCATCCAAATGTAAATCACGTGACCCTGGGGATGCTGCAATGGCCAAAAGTGTGAAAAATGGTCATCAGTCACTTTTGTGAATGCTGTTGTAACTTTGAACGCCCGCTAAATGAATTGTAAATCGAAAACTCCCTATACCAAATGAGATTGGAGCAAGTTAACCCTTTAAAAAAATAAGCCACTTGTGGCCTACAAGTTCTATTATGACCACGTTTAGTGTAAGGTTTTCTTCTAAATAACTAGGACAGGGTTGTCAAACTGACAGCCTGCGGGCTGGATGCACACCCACCCCAGCTCTGCAAATGGGAAAAATGTTGTGAAATATCATGTGATGGCAACGGTTCGACACCTATGAACTAAGACAGGGGTGGCCTGACCCAAACCTTGTTCCAAGGAAACAAACATAAAACAGAGGTAACAGCAAAACCTTTTAATGATTCTTTACAAATTCCGTTCCTTCCTGGTTAAAAGGCTGTTTCAAACTAATTGTCTCTGATAAGAACGAGCCTTGCCAAGGTTGGGCAAGGCTGCCAAGAACACTAGATAAAGTTACTAAGAAATATTTCAAACACAAAGAATCTCCAAACACCAACCAAGATAATCCGAACGTCCTCAAGGCTTGAGTGCAAAAACTTCTTTGCTTCCTGCAAAGAACTCTGGTTTCTCCGCTGGCTGGGGTTAGTTAGCTAAAGGCAGTCCTTAACTTACGACCACAATTGAGCCCAAAATTTATGTTGCTAAGTGAGAAATTCCTTAAGTGAGTTTTGCTCCATTTTATGACATTTCTTGCCACATTTGTTAAGAGAATCACTGGCAGTTGTTAAGTTAGTAACATGGTTGTTTAAGTGAATCTGGCTTCCCTAATGAGTTTGCTTGTCAGAAGGTCCCCAAAAGGGATCACATGACTTCAGGACACTGCAACCGTCATAAATATGAATCAATTGTCAAGCAAATGGATGTAAGTCACCTGTGCATGGTGATACTGCAAGTCATAAGTGTGAAAAATGGACATAAGTCACTTTTTTCAGTGCCGTTGTAACTTTGAATGGCCACTACACGAACTGTTGTAAGTCGAGGACTATCTGTATTGTCCATATACGTGGGACTTGTGTGGGCAAGTACAGTCTCAGTAAGAGATTTTCTTCACACATTAACTCTCATTTTCCCCGAAAGGGATCCACTGTCATCAGTGGTGGGATTCAAAATTTTTTACTACCGGTTCTGTGGGCATAGCTTGGTGGGCGTGGCCGGGGAAGGTTACTGCAAAATCCCCATTCCCTCCCCACCACACTAACCTGCTTTCCAGCTCCCTTCTCCTGTGCAGGGCAACCAAAGAAGATCCAGCCAATTACCTGGGACTCAGGAGGCAGAGAATAGATGCGGGCGGAGCCAGTCAAAGGTGGGATTTGCCGGTTCTCCAAATTACTCAAAATTTCTCTTACCGGTTCTCCAGAACTGATCAGAACCTGCTGAATACCACCTCTGATTGTCTGATTGTCATGCTTTAAAAAAAATTCTGGCATAAAACACGATATATGGTACCAAAATGCATGCAACAATGCATGTGGGTTTTTTTAAAAAAAGTTCAATAACTCCTTTGTGTTTTTTGTCTGTATTCTTACAATCTTCTCCAAAGTTATGGGCCAGGAGATTTAACTCAGCATGAAATGACTAGGTCTCCCTTCCATTTAAGGTGTTCAGCCCTCCCAACTGGGCTTGTGGGAAGTTAATTTCTCAGCATCTGGAGGATGGCAGATTTTCTGCTTAGGTTTCATGAACTCATCACACAAGTGAAGTGTGCAATGACACAATGATGTATGCAATAGTGTTGTGATTCCCTCATGGCTTCTGACAGTGGCTTTCTCCTCTGGAGAACCTGCTGAATACCACCTCTGCATCCAGCCCATGAGTTCGACAGCCTTGCACTAAATGGTAGAATTACTTTCTGCAAAGGTTACAGTAAACACACTGTACAATTTATTATTGCAACCAGAATATTGCTTGTCTGGTTTTTTAAGCAAAGGCATCATGTGAGTGCACCAATTTTACCACTTTTTTGCAGCAGTCGTTAAACGAATCACTCAGTTTCCCTATTAACAGTCGAAAGCCAGCTAAGAAGGTCACTGATTTGCGATCCTGTGACCCATGACTCTACAACTATATAGTAAATACATGCCAGCGGCCAAGTGCCCAAATCAGTGGTGGTATTCTACCGGTTCAGTCTGGTTCTGCAGAGCTGGTAGCACTGATGAGCCGTGGCGAGCAAACCGGTTCTATCCGCCGCGCTGCTGTTGGGCCCACCTGCCCACCTGGGTTCCCATACCTTTGTTCCCTGCTTTTTAAGAATAGCTGCTTTGCGCAGCACATAGGAGTGCTGCGCAGCAGCTGCTGAAGTAACTGAGAGAGTGCAGACTTGCAGGAGGTGAGTTGGAATGCTTCTGCGCCTGCGCAAAGCACGCCCACCATGTCACGCCCACCAAGCTGGTGGTAGACAATTTTGAAACACACCATTGGCCCAGATACTGATCATGTGACTGTGGGGATGTGAGGATGTATCACTATGTTTCAGTTCTGTCATCGCTTTGAACAGACGCTGAATGAATGATTGTAAATCCAAGACTAACTGTAGGGGGTTTCCTATATCAAGCACTTTGATTTGGACTGCAGTGTGTCACCAACTGGATTGTGCTAGTCATCCATTCAGGAAGCTGCAACCAACTAACTGGGGTTGCAGTCTGTTGGGCGGTTTGTGTGTACGCATACAAGTGTTAATATGTTACAAATGAGCTACAGCATTTTATTTCCTTTCTGTTGTACAAGGCTCTTGATGTGGCTCTTGGTTGACTGCTATGATGCATCCCAAGACAACCAAAAATGGGTTTTTGTAGGCTTGTCAACTCAGATCAGGTGCATCCCCATTTGTACAAACTTAACAAAATC